TTGTTTCCAGATAGTTTTTGATTTCTCCTTTAATTTCATCAATGATCCATTGGTTGTTCAGTAGCATGTTGTTTAATCTCCACATTTTTGTCACTTTCGAAAAGGGTAAATTTTATGGTACATGAATTATATCTCAATACAGCTTTTATAAGAAAAATGTATGTTCACAGAAGCAAGTTCAAACTTCTCATCTACAAATATAAAAACATTTTGGAATTTTATACAAATTCAATATTTAATATCTCCTAATATAGTGTATTTTATTTTATCATAATTATAAAATAAAATGTTTTGACTTTTCCTCACAAATCTCATATAGATGCCTCTAAATCTCCTCCAGCTAACTGTGTTGACACGTTTGAAGTATGCCCTACCATGAGCATACTATACACCTATTGGTATACAGTGTACCTATACTGGTATACCTACCTACCTATATTAGAAAAAGAATAGTTCTAGAGACAGATGGAGTTGAGTTTCAATCCTAATTCTGCTGTTTATATGTGACCACTCTGAACCTTAACCTTTCTGCACCTCAGTTTTCTACTTTATAAAATGGGCATTAATATATTGACTATAAAGGGTTTAGAGTTATGAAAGTGGTATGCAGTAGGTTCTTAATAAGTCATATCTATTTTGATGATCACTTTATAAAAGCTTATAACTGACGTTCTCCTCTAGAGCCGGCAGTAAAGCAATAAGGCTGCATTCAGGAAGACTGGCCTAAGTTCAAAGTGGTCGTGCCTATTGACACAGCCATTAAACTTTTAGGAATAGTTACTTATTTTAAAGAAATAGTCAAAGATGCATGCAATGATTTGTATGTAAGAAAAGTACTGATTTTTAATATGGGAAAAATAACAATAAACAAATATATTACAATAAGAATTTGGCTAAATCCTTATGGTTTGAATACGAATCAATTCATTGAAAACCTATGCAGTCATTACAAATGATATAGAGAAACGTTTAAACAAATAGGTAAAGGAATATTTAAAATAATAAACACAATGGGAAGTTTACTATTTATTATTAAAGGAACAAAGTTACATTATATACAATTTCTTTCCAATTCTGACTTAAAGTCTATATATGCACCAAAGGACTGGAAGATATCCATAAAATATTAATCATGGTTATCGCTGGGTGGTGAATTACAGGTTGTTTTTATTCTTTAAGTGTTGTTATAATTTCTAAAATTTTCACAAGGCACAGGAATTACTTTTATAATGAGAAAAAAAGTGTTTAAAAAATAAAAGGAAGGAGCCAGCCCGGTGGCTCAGCGGTTGGGTGCACATGCTCCGCTGCTGGCGGCCCGGGGTTCTGATCCCGGGCGCGCACCGACGCACCGCTTCTCCGGCCATGCTGAGGCCGCGTCCCACATACAGCAACTAGAAGGATGTGCAACTATGACATACAACTATC